TGCAGGGTCTTGTTACCCAGCGTGTCCTGCATCACAAATGCCAATGTATTGCTCTGAAGAAACAGCACGCTAAGACAAGGAGGAGGCTGCAGAAAGTGCTAAGCTTATGGCTAAGAGAATGAAGGAAGCCAAGAAAAAACACAGGGAACAGACTGCCAAGAGACGTAGGCTGTCCTTACTGTGAGTGTCTACTTCAAAGTCCAGTCGAACCTAAGTCTTTAATAGTGACACAGAATGATCAGACGGGGGCGGGGGGCAAGGGGGTTGGGGCGAAAGTTGACAAAAACCAGAGGAAGCAGAACTGAATAAACAGGAAGACAGAATCCTAGTTTAATACAAGATGACAGAGAGTGGATTCTAATGAAATATTGGAGAATAGAAGAGTAGCAGAAAAACTTAGAGAGTAGAAAACTGACCCAGAGTAATGTTATGTCCAAGACAACATATATAAATGTGATATAGATACATATATTTATTCTAACAAAACTACTAGTCCTAAAAATGAAAAGTGGAAACAAAAAAGGATACTTTTCTAAATATATGTGTGTATATATGTATATATAGTATATATTCTAAATAGATGTATATATTATATAAATATATGTAGATGTGTGTATATATTCTAAATATATGTGTTTAGAAAAATATTTATACATATAGACATATATTCTAAATATAATTCCACGTAAAAACATAGTATAATGTAATAATTATAAAATGGCAAGATGGTGTTGGGATCAGATATGAATTGTCTGTAAATGGGAATGAGCTTGTCTTCTTTCAACTCTTTCCCAAGGGTACAAATGAACTCCAGTTTTATGCTGCGTAGAATAACACACAGTGACTTAAGTGGCCTAAAATAAGACTCGAACAAAGATTCACCAAGGAAATGGAGGCAGCAGAAAATAAGAACCCTGTGACCAGAGTACAGAACACAGCCCCAAACACACTGAAACAGACACAGAGCCAGGTTTAGCGCTAATTGCCAGTTCTGAGGAAGATGGAGCCCGTAAACTATCCATGCTCTAAATAACACAGGGTCGGGCAGAAAACAAAGCCTTGGCATTGTACTGTGCAGTATAGTAACTGCAGCTCAACAAGGCAAGCACTTAGTATGAGCCAATGTGAATTTTTATTTGCTTCACAATCAATACACAATACATTTTAAGCAATCAGCATAAAATGAAAAAAAGTACTTCAAGTAATCAGAGAGTACAGAGTGGTCATTGAAGGGCTGTTGGCTTAAAGACACCATTACACACATACACACATACACACCCCCAAAGCCCCAGTACAAACTGGCATCTGGTTATGCAATTTATTATTTGAAAAAGAATGGTATAATAGAACCCAGTCCCTCCCTCATATCTTACACAAGCCCACTGGAGACTGACTAGATCAAAATATGAGGCGAACATAGTAAGTTTCAGTGCTGGCAGATGTGTCTACACAGGTCAAAATAAGTGAAATAAATTACTAGATTTGACCACACGAAAACAATTTCTGTGTGTTAAGGAAGTGGCGCCCTGCAGAGTGGAGAAGTGTGTGCTTGTGCACACCTGGCAGAGGGCACCCATCAGGAAACATAAAGAGCTCCTATGTATCAGTAAGTGCATATTCCAGTAGGAATTTGGCAAAGTATTTAGATAAACACATCACAAAAGATTGTTATCCATGCTATCAAAATATATGGAAAGGTGCCAATGTCTTTGCCATGGGGGAAAAGCAAATTAAAACCATGGTGATAGGCTCCACACCCAGGCCCAGCAGCAGGGAAGCCTGACGCGTGCGTGGAGCAACTGGAGCTCCCAAGCTCTTGGCAGGGATGCAAACCACAACAGCCACTTGAGAAAACAGCATAGCAGCATCTCCTGCAGCTGAAAATACGCCCTAGGTGTGACACAGCACACTGCCAAGTGCTAAGTGTGCTGGCCACATAGCAGTCTGGAACCAGGGTAGCCAGGGCTGGTTGGAGGCACTGGGACCACTTGAAGATGAACTCCAGGACACAGGTGCATTGTCAGCTGACCCAGTGACCCCCTAGTCTAAATGGAAGAGGGTTTTTTTTTTTTTCTCACTGGTGGTTTGAAAGAGAATGGCCTCTATAGGCTCATATATTTGAATACTTGGTCCTCAGTTGGAACTGTCTGGGAAGGGTTAGGAGGTGTGGCCTTGTTGGAGGAGGTATGTCACTGGGGGTGGACTTTTTGAAGTTTCAAAGGCCCATTCTATTCCCAGTTAGCATCTCCTCCCTTCTTCTTTCCCTCCCTCCCTCCTTCCCTCCCTCCCTCCCTCCCTTCGTGTGTGTGTGTGTGTGTGTGTGTGTGTCACTGGCCTGTAACTCACCCAGTACGCTAGGCTGGTTGGTCAGCAAGTCCCAGGGAGCCTCTGAGTCGACTTCCCCAGTTCTGGGTTTCACCACCATGTTGGGTTTTGCCGTAGGTTCTGGAGATGGCTCTCAGGCCATCATGCTTGTGAGGCAAGCGTTTTACAGAGCAGGCTCTCTCCCCAACCCTGATCGTGTACCTCTTAATGAGCACGTGTGTTTGTCTCTGTGGTAGGGTGAGGGTTAATCTTTGCTGTCTGCCTGGATTTAGGGTCCTTAGAAGACCCTCGGTCGAAGGATTTCCACAGAGGTTCCACCAAGGAGGAAAGCCCCCATCTTAACCCGAGTGGCACCATGGGCTAGGGGCCTAGCTGAAGAAGCGCTGGAAGGGAAGGCAATATGAACAGTGGGATGTGTAAATAAAAGAATGACCATGAGCCTTTGGGGATTTTATCCTTGGCTCCCTGGTCCACTGCCGTCATCGGGAAGGTTTTCTCTTTTTTAGTAAGCTGTATGTTTTCATTTCTAAAGAAAAAGAATGAGCATTATATGAACATGCGAATTTCACAGCCATGACAGCTTCTTCAAGAAACAGTGCAGACGGCTTAATTCCACCGATCCTTCCCAACAGGCCAGACTAATGTGCGGCACAGGGGTCTCTGGGAGGTTGGTCATGCATGCTGTCCTGCTGCGCAGTGTGTTCACTTGTGACAGCTTATGAGAGCCCGCTTTTGCACCATGCACAGTTTTGTGTCCATATCACACCTGAATAGAATTCAAACGAATAACAGCAAATCCAGTCCCTGGGGACCTGCTTTACTGAGCAGAGAGGCGTTTGGAAAAAGCTCACGTTCAGTTGCTGCGGAAGTGCTAACGTTCGTGAATTGCAAGGTTCTGGTAAATGAAAGTATGTGTCTGCCACGGCTATCAGTTTTGTTCAGACATTCTTCTAAGCACAGCCACCTGGGCTACAGAGGGACCAGCTTGGTCAGCTATGGAGTTTTGCACACAAACAGGTTTCAGGGAATCATTAGGCACCCTCTGTTTCTTGGGGTTTTGTTTGTTTGTTTGTTTGTTTTGTTTTGTTTTGTTATTGTTGTTTTGGCTTGGTTTGTCCTATATGTTCTGAATCTTATCATCATGAAAGAAACATGAAACTTCTGTGTCTGGAACCTGCACTAAGTACATCAGCATCGCACCAGACGGTGTCCCAGATCTCTCCTCTTACCTCTTCCAGACAGGCGAAGGCCATTGTTGATGGCGTTTTTGTTTCTGTAGGGTTTCTCCTGGCCCACTATCATTCCAGTGAATGGTGCATATACAACAGATCCATCCGAGCACAGGACATCCACACCTGGGTGATGCCTGTTGGTTCTAGAATATAAATAAGAACCATCAGACTGAGGGGCTATCTCGGGGAAACGGCCAGAAGACATTGTAGTGCCTGGGATAGTTTACTCTGTTTAGCCCGATTTTAACCTCTCTGCTCTGCTCGTGAGTACTAATGGCCATATTGGAAAGATTAAATAATTTAAAATCGTATTTCCTTCATAGTAAGCCTTAAGTATTATTATAGGATATCTTGAAAAAAATTGAGACAGGGTGTACATGTACATTTTATTGTCATCTGAATCTTGACCCCTTTAAGGCCTTTTATTTTTTAGCACTGGGAATCAAACCCAGGGCCTCGTGGATATGAGGCAAATGCTGTACCACTGAGCTACACACCCAAAGCCAATTTAAAAGAATTGCTGTTTTAGGGAACCTATTGCATAGCTATCATGTGTTCCCTGGGTTTTATTTCTTTTCTCATAGTAAAAGTAGTTATAAACTCCATTTGATGAAAGTATTGTTTTAACACAGTGAGGGCTACCTCCCAGCCTTGTCAAACTACGTGGAGCCCAAACAAGCTCATTCCAAATAGCAAGGCATCTTGAGTTTGTCTCTATGACCGGGCAGTTCTGGCTTGCCACTGCTTTAACTGCCTATTCTTCCCAGACTTTCGACTGAACAATCAGATTCACAAGGATGGGACCCTTAGAATTGTGTAGAAGGCAATATTGATCAGGTTCTATGGGAAGAGTCTAGAAGTTACTGTGTAAATTAAAGGTACAAACTTTTGAGTGCTCGCTCATTTTGAGGTCCCTCTTCCTATTCGCCATCTTTCAGTCCCATCTTGAGTATTTGATGCCTTTGTAGGCAGGACCGTGTGAGAGCTCCCCTGTGATTCGGGCGGAGGTCAGTGCTACAGTTTGATAGAGGGCTGCTTGTCGGCAGCCTGAATGTTTTCGGAACCTCGGGGGTATGACCCTTGTCTAGAAGGGATCAAGAGGTTCTTGCTTGACTAGAGTCAGCCTCTAATGTTAAAATTGCAGAACCTTGGTCAGTAACAGTAGAGTGGATGCAGAAGAACCCAAAGGGCTGAATTCAAGTGTAGCCTTCACCATCTCCAACTCTGTGGGATGATCAATCACTTCAAATACCTTATTATAAAAACAGTGGGGTAGTTTGGTTTTCTTCACGCTGGAAAGCCAGGTGAAGTGAGACGATGTGTGGAGAGGTGGAGAAGGAAAACGTGTTGACCCCCTTCCCTTTCACCCATTTCCTGCTCTGTCTCCAGTGCAGACCCCATCCTAGAAGCAGGGTCTTAGAAGCTGCTCCAAATACAGTCACCGTTGCACAGAGCTCTGGGTTCCTGGCTGTCAGAGGGAGGTCCTTGTGCGCCCTCTAGGAAACAGGACAAAGACGACATGAAAAGCGGATGTCTGTGCCTCCTTGTACCTTTGAGCAGAGTACTGTCCACAGCCATAGCTGTCGCATGTCCGGATCTCATTGGAAGATTTGCTGGCACATATGTTAGCCCATGGTCCTGCCAGGGCTGCAGAGGAGAGAGGTGAGAGCTGTGGGCATCTCCAGCCTGGGTCTCCCTTGTGTGTCTATTCCTCCCTCCTTTGAGGAGTTCATAGGTAAGTTCTTCCTATGGACAACTGATTCAGACATAAAACTTAGCCCCTTTGCTGTATAATTCTGTTCTGTAGCATATAAATGTGTATATATAATCACTCATTTCTTTATCTCACTGTTCCAAATCATTCATGAATACACGGTATAAACTGTGCTTTTAGATTTTCCTTTGCGTATGACCAGACCTGGGAGCCACTGTGGCTAAACAAAGGTAAACAGCATAGCTTTAAAAAAGAAACAACTTTAGGAGTTGTACAGTAACTTTGAAATGTTGCTTTATAATCGGGTCTAAGAATGGCATCCAGGCAAAAGTTTGACTCTCAGGCATGGTGTATTCTATCTAACTTGCCAACTTCACGCAGCACGACCTCAATCTCAGATTTACAGACTTGGAAGTAGGATTTGAGACATAATCTAAAGTGCTAAGCCACAGTTAGTAAGGTCAGAAGGAGGCTGGGAAGGGAGTGGAGATGATTACATGAAGGTTACAAGGAGTAAGCACAGTGAGAGGCAGCTGCAGTCTGTAAATGCAACTCACCCCTTTAATATTACAAGTAATATCAATTGAATTCCCTTATTCTCGATGTTAATATTCACAGAGGTACAGTTAGCAATCTTAGCCTCTCACTTTGAAGCAAAATTTGGTGGTTGGTTGTATTAAAGGACATTTTATTCTTCCTGGCAGTATATATGCTGTGAAGAAGAGCTGCAGAATATGGTTGGTAAGTATATTTTCTACTGTAACTTAAACTATGAGTCTCAAAAGGCTTCTACTGTGTGTCCAAGCTTCCAATGAATCCTTGATCCAATTCTAACAGCATGGCTCTAGAACCAGCGTTTTTCCTGGACAGCTGAAGCATCTCGTGGACAGATTATCATTAATCTGTTCAGTTTACTTGCCTACCATGAGCATCAAGAGGACTTTCCCTTCATCCCAATCCAGTCTTGCATCAGGAATTTCCCACCATCAATTCATCCAGCTCTTACTTGAGATTTTTACGTTCTAGGGTTTTGTGGGGGAGAGGGTGAAGTGTTAACAGATTAAGTTCCAGGTCAGGCCAGTGAATGCCTTTAATTCCAGCACCCGGGAGGCAGAGTCCAGCATGGACATCTGCTTGACTTGCATTCAGGAGAGAGAAGAGAGGCTGCTAGTTTGCTCACCCAGAGTATGGGCTACCCTGCTTCTTAGAGTGGGAAGGAGGGGGGGAAGGCACCACAGGGAGACTGAGAACCCCCTCCTCCCCCTGTGCAGGCGGATCTCTGTGAGTTTGAGGCCAGCCTGATCTACAGTGTGAGTTCCGAATAGCCAGGGCTACACGGAGAAATGCTGTCTCAAAAGCCAAATAATTGGAGGCTTGTCTGAAAGCCTTCTTACACATACACATGTTGACATTTCCCTCTCTGAAGAATCAGGACATCTGGAAGAGGTGGTGGAGAAACCCCCACAGCCCCACCCACTGCATTATTTTCTAACCTACTGCAACCTTAATTATTAATATCAAATTTTATGTTGCAAGTTTGTTATCATAGACTTTTAAGATCGGAGCAAATCAGGTATATACTTTTCATTAACCAGGATTCAACTGTACTTTCAACTTACCCGTGGAAATCAAGGCAGCTGCAACGAGGACTGTTGTGGAAAACATCTGGCTTTTGCTTCCTGTCTCTTCCTCTAATTAGAATTGCTCCGTGCACACACTGTTCAAGCTTGAGTTAATATTCTCTGGTAAGTTAGGTTCAGAACCCTGTATTTCTCCTGGATTCAGAACGAGACACGGAAAGCACACCGAGGCAAGTTAAACTGTAGCACGCTGTGGAGAGCGGTCCGATTGCGCGAGACCTCTGTGAGAACCTTTGATCTGGGGAAGCAGCCAGTGCTACCGGGAATCCCGACTACATATTAACAGGAGTGACAACACTGGATGCAGACTGGTGTCCTTTGACTGGGGCTGGAGGGAGCATGTGCGGGTCGATGGTGGTGTGGCTCTTACTGTCTGCTGGAGACCTTTCCCTCCCTGGATAGTGCGTGTTTCAGTGGAGAACTGACTGGTCATGATGGGGATGCTCCCTACTGTCAGCATATCTCTAGTCTATTGTCCGCTCAGTTACATTTCATATACAAGACATTTTAGCTAATTTTAACATAATTCTGTTTCTTTCTTTTTCTATCTTTGTGTGTGTGTGTGTGTGTGTGTGTGTGTGTGTGTGTGTGTTTTGTTTTTCAAGACAAGGTTTCTCTGTAGCTTTGGTGCCTGTCCTGGAACTCATTCTGTAGACCAGGCTGGCTTCGAACTCACAGAGATCTGCCTGTCTCTGCTTCCTGAATGCTAGGATTAAATGTGTACGCCGCCATTGCTTGGCTGTTTATTTCTTTTGACCTTGTAATTTAAATGTTTGTGATAGTGGAAATTAATATTTAAATCATCCGCCATTAGGGAAATATATATTTAAACTAGGATATCAGTCATTTGATGGAGGATAAGAGCTTAAATGAAGACTCTCTCTATCCCTATCTATCTACACACACACACACACACACACACACACACACACACACACACACATATATGGAGAGAGAGAGAGAATAGGCAGAGTGGAGCAGATGCTGGCGCTGAGGAAACATATGCAAATAGAAATGGGTTAATTTAAGATGTAAGAGCTAGCTAGAAATACACCTGAGCCATCAGCCAAACAGTCTTGTAATTAATATAATTAATATATATATGTTCAGAGTTCCCGTCTGGCTTTACTCTGCTAAACTATTGACCGAAACAGCTTTATTCATCAAGCAATAAAAGCAACACACATACAGAAGGACTTCTCAAGAAGCAGACCTAAATACATGTAGAATGCAGTACACGATAGACATATCTCCTCTGACCATCAGGGGAAAGGCATAGCAGAATGGGGACATCTGGAAGGAGATAAAAGCTTGATCTGAACATCAAAGTTTACTCTCCCTTACCCTGCAAAGAGGTCAAAGGGGAGAGTATAAATCATGAAATTCACAAGGTTTTTGTTTTTTTGTTTTTCTTTGTTTTGTTTTCTCAAGACAGGGTTTCTCTGTGCAATGGCCATAACTGTCCTGGAACTTGCTCTGTAAACCAGGCTGGCCTCAAATTCACAGACATCTTCCTGCCTCTGCCTCCCGAGTGCTGGAATTAAAGGTGTGTGCTACCACATCACCGCTCGGCCACATAGGATTTTTATCTGTTTTGGAATAGATTAGACCTCTCAATGTCCAAAACACAGACTGAAGGAACCAGTCCCTGATGAGTTGTTGCAGCAGTATAAAACCTCAGTAAGCAGAGTGCTTGCCAAGGGCTCACCATTCTCATACAGTAGATGTGGGGTATAAGCCTTTGATTTCAGTACTCAGAGACAGAACCAGGAGGATCGAAAGTTCAAGGTTATCCATCTACCAATAGCCTAAGAGGTCTTTTTCTATATAAAATAAGATGTTTACTTTTTAAAACTTTATTAAATTTGCTCTTTGACAATTCCAAGCCTGTATGCAGTGCATCCCTATTGCTGTCACCTCCATGAGCTGACAGTTCTTACGAGGACCGCCTTGTACACAGAATAGGGAAAGGAACAGAAGGCATCAACCAACTTTCACAGCAGAATAACTACGAGTCACCAATCAGTGGTGTGCATGAGCTGTGTTGCCCTCACACAAGGTTACAAAACAGGAGAAAAATGTCACCTGTCAGAGCTAGGCTATGCGGACACCTGAACACTCACTGCAGATGATGACAGTTTAACCTTTTCAGAGGACAATTTAGCAACACCTCTCACATTTTCAAATGCCCAAGACCTTTGTCCCAGCAATTTTATTGCCTTTCTACCTGTGGCTCTTTCTTTGATTTTCCTGCCTTCCTTATTAACCTTTTTCCAACCCATCTTTCTTTCTGAGAGTGGAACAACTCTCCAAACTGAAGAAGAGATGATAGGACTCCGTCTTGAAACCCTTGATAAACTTTGGTCCACACAAGCATGGGAGATGTGAAACGGTTGGGGAAAGTGACTGGGACAGGGCAGGCTCCGATGTCTTCACAGCGTCACCACTGCAGAAAGAGCAGAGGGAAGGAAGCATTGGTGCCCCCTGGTAATTATCTGCAAACGCAAAGCCAATGAAGAACTTTAACTCCACTGTCCAGTGTAGGGAAGCTGTAGCCTGGATCAGACGTAAAAGGATAGAACAGTGATGCAGTCATTCAACTTCCTGGAAGCTGTCCCCATGAAGAACGTCACGGCCCTGAGCAGCAAAGGCAGTGGGTGGATCAGAGATTAAAGAAAAGAGAGGTGGGGCAAGGATAGAACCACTGCCCGTCTTAACACTTGGGTCCTGGTGGGAGTTATTGCTTGTGTAAAAGGAATCCTTTGTGGATTTTACAGTCTTTCTCTTTTCAAAATACAAGGAAATAGATATGACTCTCAAAACATAGTATGCCTCTGATTGGCTTCAAATGCCATGGGTTTGAAGAGTGGGTATGTACATTAAACATGACGTCACAAACTAATAGTTATTGAAGGGGGGTAATTTGTAATGGCCAAAAGACTCCAGTGACAACTGGCACAAAACCAAGCCCAGCTACTCCATCCCACTGAGCTCAAGGGCAATCTAGGAAGACTCCACAGCTGCTCTTTAAATCCAACCTTTCCAACTGAAGATCCTCTTTTTTCAAAACCTTGCCTGTGTGTTAATTTGTAGAATCAGACCATTTTGAGCCCATGCTTCCAGAATGTCCTGAATTCCAGGCAGCAGACAGTTCTCTCTGTCCACATTCACGGTCCCCGCAGACACTCTTCCACTCAGCTTCCTTGCTGTGGGTGCTTTGATCACAGAAAGCAAATAGCTGCTTGCCACCTAGGGAAGCCCAGACTTAGATTACCCAAGCCACCACACTTTGAACCCAGAGATTGCACCACACACAGACCTGCCGCTGTTGCCAGCGGTTACAACACACACATTCTTGGCACCATTGCTGGTTGACTCAGAGAGGCTGAGCATCTTAAAGCAAAGAGTCACCCCACCGTGTCAAGGGAAGAAGTGATGCTGGGCTGCCCAGGGATTAAAATACCCATCTAACTACTGACATCTCCTAAAAAAGGAAACTTTCAGCAAGAGCATCTTTCAGAGATGACGATACTACTTCAGCATTCAGCAGCCCAATCCATCTTGCGCCGGCTCCGTGTGTGGAGCAGCAGAGAGGCAAGCAGACCTGGCAAAGATGGGCAGGTAACTGAGAGAGTGCAGCTCAGAGGAGAGAATGAGGATGAGTGAGAACCCAGGGGTGGGATGGGTGGGAGAAGCCGGAACAACCTGTAGCAAGCTCAGCCTATGACTTATTCCAGGGCTGGGGATCCAGCTCACTTCCTTGCTGGCCTGTTTGCAAAGCTGACATTTCTGAAGTTCATCTTCTTCCAGGGGGTTGCGGCCTTCCCCTGGGGAACATTTCTGATGGAGACAGACAGAGCGTAAACAGTTCATCACTGGACATTCACAAACATTCATGCCATGACTGGGCATGTCCCATGGCGTGTGTTGTCTTCTAGGTTCACTGTGAGCATGTTTTATGAGAAGATAGAAAGTTGAGAAAATGCCATTGTTTGCTAGATTATGGCTATCAAGTTGAGAAACTTAATTAGACCTGGTCCCCTAAAGGGTGGTGTGACTATACATGGGTTGCCTGACTTAAAGCAAGTCTCAGCCAGGCTGCTGTGGGGAGGTACGAGCTTCCAGGGAGAATGCTGTCTTTCTGGCCTAGAGGGATCTCTAAGAGATAGAAAACGGGGTGGAGATGGAAGGGGGGGGGGATAAACAGATTTTAAAGAATTTGTCCAGGCAATTGAGGAGGCAAGCAGGGTAGGCAGGCTGGGGAGCTGGAAAAGCTGACCCTGCAGTGTGAAGTCCAAACGCACTCAGGAGACAGAATTAAAGCCTTCAGCTGATTGGGTGAGCCATACCCTGTTTTTAAAGAGAATTCTAGTGATTTAAATGTTACTCTGGGGCAGGAGAGATGGCTCAGTGGTATGCCAAACCTGACGTCGTGAGTTCAGTCCCTAAGACTCCCATGGTGAAAGGAGAGGACAGACTCCAGGACTCTAGTGGGTTGTCCTTTGACCTCACGCTCACTGTGGCATCTGTCTTCCTGCTCGTGTGTACACTCACATACAAATAGTAGATGTAATAACTTTTAGAACTACGTGTAAATGGTAATCTCTTCAACAAAAAGTAACCTCACAGCCATGTTCCTCCACTGGTATTTGACCTGGAAACCACGAGAAACCTGCGTGAAGTAACAACTACATCACCTGGTACCTTTGCCTCAGGTGAACTAGGCTAGAATAGGAGCCTGCCCTGTGGGCATAACCTTGAGACTCCAAGAAATTTCATTTTGTTGATTTACTGATTGCAGTAATCTCAAGGATACCTGTGGTCTGTCCAGTTTACCATGGGTGATGAAGAAAAGGGGAGAAATAAGACACAAGGAAAAGTGTGAGCCAGGAAAGCAACCCTGAGTCCCACCTTCTGTGGATGGCGGTGTCTTGAGAGTATTTGGCCCCAGTCCTTGTCATTTACCAGCAGGAAGCAATAGGGAAGAGTAGGGCATTTCAGAGCAAAGACGAGAAGGCGGCTGAAGCAGGCAAGGATGATCTTACATGGGAGGACAGAGGAGGCTGTGGTCATCTCAGTCAGACTTTCTCTTGGACTGC